GGAAAGAGTATGAGACCGGCTCTACCTTCACTTCACCCTCTGATCCCTGCTCCTTGTGCTCCTGCCTGGTCAGTCTCATAGTTCTTACTGAATGAAAAGTCAGTGATCTGACTGTGTAAATGATCTGAATTGAAAATATTTCATTACATTACAACTGGGCAAATAATCTCTCCTTCCACATTGTCCCTTCATATCATCCTCTGGTCAGAATGAAGTAGTGAACTGTCATAAAAGACTTTGCCCTGTCCAGTGCTACCATCCGGTCCCTTCAGAAACCTGCTGCCCTGTCTGTGACTCCTGTCTCTATGAGGGAGTAGTGCACTCTCACAGTCGCACCTTCACTTCCTCCTCTAACCCCTGCCAGCGCTGCACGTGTGTCAGAGGCACTGTCACCTGTGTGCCACTTGTCTGCCCCCCAACACTATGTGCCCACCCTGTTACCAAGCCAGGACAGTGCTGTCCTGAGTGCACAGGTACTTGATATATGAAGACCTGAATGGTTCTACTGATACCTGCCACTTTTTTCCTTCTATAAAATAAGTAAGCAAACCTTGTTACTTCTGTCCTCTTTTGTCCATCTCTGGTCCCAGTGTGCATGCTGGATGGACAGGAATTTAAAGATGGACAGACATGGACCCTGAGTTCAAACCACTGCTCAGCCTGCACCTGTCAGGTCTTCAACTGCAAATTTCTTTTTTTTTTTTCCTCCAGTATTTTTACTTTTCCTTGTCTTCAAATGCTATCTGTCTGAATCTCACAGGCAGGGGAGGTGCAGTGTACATCTTCTCACTGTCCCAAGCTGCCATGTAGGCAACAGGTGACTGATCCAGGAGCCTGCTGTCCTCACTGTAGAGGTAAATAGGCCACTAGAAATTGTAATCACAGGAGGAAATTGTTTAGGAAAGAGCTTTACCAGCAATTAAATTTTTCTTCTCAGGCTGTGTGTATCAAGGAGAGGAGCATACAGAGGGCAGCAGCTGGTTCGCAGATTCCACTCCTTGTATGACCTGTATGTGTGTGGATGGGGTGACCACCTGCTCTGAAGTACACTGTCTGTCTCCTTGTATCAACTTCATCAGTGTGCCCGGGGAGTGCTGCCCTGTGTGTGCTGGTAAGCGAAGAAGCATCTAAAGCTGCATGTCTCATATTATACTGTATATATACTTTTCATAATCCTATATGAACGTTTTTATAGACTGTGTATTTGAGAGCAGAGTGTATGGCCCAGGGGACAGTTTCAATCCAGGCAATGACCCTTGTCAGATCTGCACTTGTGAGGTATGATACACCTGACACAGATAAATATGATTTTTATGTTTATAATTGTTAACTTTTTTGATATATTGATTATTTTGTTGATTCATCGTTTAAACATTTAGTATGTAAAACATCAGAAAAGTGTAAAATATTACAAGCACAAGGTTCCAGTGCCCAATGAAGTCACTTAATTTGACCAATTAGCAATCCAAAAAATATTGCAACTCCAATGCTATAGCACAGAGAAAGGCAGCACATTAACATAATGAAGACACTGGAGCCAGACATGATTTTGACATTTTTAATAAGGAGGATGGAGATACTTTAGTGGCGATAATAGCAGGTAGGAATAGAAGTAATGCAATAATCTCACCTGTTTGTATCCCAGGTGATGCCAGATGGAGAACAACACCTGAGATGTTACCGAAAGCAGTGTCCTAGTCTGGTTGACTGTCCTAAAAGTAACATCTTGTTCTCTGGACCAGACTCCTGCTGTCCTGTCTGTGCACGTCAGTACTAAACTGCACCTTATATTATTTTATGATGCTATACTGCTATGCACTGTTACTGAGCTGTGTAATATTTGTACGTGTGTTTTAGAGCCTCTCAGTAACTGCACTGCTGCACTGATTGGCAACGAGGTGCTGGCCACAGATGACCCCTGTTTTACCTGCCACTGCAAGGTATTACAGCGAGTACACATCTGTCCTGCTCTGTGGTGAATATTTTAGGAATCTTTAAAGCAGCATCAAGTGATCTATCATTTTTACTGCATCAAATTATACAGTAACAACCTGTAGTGGAAACAAACAAAATTAAAATCCATATCTTTTGTTTGCATAAAAATAAGCAGAATGAACTGAGTTTTTCTGCACTTTGACGTCTAATTGTTGAGTTGTTAGTCCCAGTAAAACTACTATCACCATGCTCTTATGTGATTCTGTGCAGTACTGTGATACTGTGTTTGTGGCTGTGAGTTAGGACCTGACATGGACCTGCTTACACCAGATGTGCCTCCCACTTACTTGCCCTCTTAATGAACAGTTTGTCCCACCAGACTCATGCTGCGCTGTGTGTAAAGGTGAAATACAATAATAATTCTTTCTCACTGCCTGTTCACTGAGCCTTTCAATTTTAATAAAGTCTTACTGGCATTAAAACATCCATTACTGTGCGGGTTTTTGTCTGTTTCATATAGATTGCGTGATTGAGGGTCAGAACAGAAGAGTGACCAATGGCAGCATCTGGACAGACGGCGACGACGACTGCGTCACATGTACCTGTAATGTTATGTCTCAAGTAATCTGTAATCTTTTCAAAACAATATTTGCTCTACAAGATAATATGGTAAACATTAACACAGTGAAAATAATTTTCATGAAAAACAAGCAGGAAGTCCTTTTAAAAGAGTTCTGTGGTGTGATTACATATAGGAAACTAAAAGGGTCCAGCCACAAGATCTAAAGCAGCATATCACAAGGGTTGGTTGACAAACTCCCAGTAAAAGTGTGAATGGAGCAGCAGCAGAGCTGAAAAATATTATTCTGCACATAACAGAACCAGACAAACATAGTTTAAGATATTGGACCGCTTACAGATTCAAATGCAAAATGGATGATTTTATATGTGCAATGACCAGTGATGTTTTCCCGTTTACACTTCCACTGTGTATTTACCTATAAGACCATCTCTTTGAGTTTGTCACTGTATGTGCTGTGACAAAAGCAAAGAAAATGACTGGTTGAAAAATAATCTCATGAATGACCTTTTTAACATCTGCAAAGAGAAAAAGCTTGACTCTGGTGACTAGAGTAGTTGGTAGGTCTCTATTCAGACCATCTAGTACCCTTAAAACAATCTGTTCTTTCTGTATGCATCCTTAGATGGGCTACATTGAGTGCAGCATTGAAGAGTGTGTACCTGCGCTTTGTTTGGATGGCCAGAAACAAGTGAAGATTCCAGGCAAATGCTGTTACGAATGCCAAGGTATCACTGCCAGCCAGTACAGTGAGCAGCTCGAATTGTAGTGTTTGTGTAGAGTTCTGAATAATCAAGTCTCATGTGTTTGTCTTTGTGTGTTTCTGTGTGTGGGGTGCGCACACTTGTGTGCTGTAGACTCAGCAGTGTCCTGTTTGCACCAGGGAACAGTATATCACTGTAATGAACAGTGGGAGGTGGATGAATGCACCAGCTGTACGTGTGTGTCAGGAGATGTACACTGTCACAGTGAACGCTGCCCTCCCCTCATCTGTGCTACAGTCAGTACAAACACACACACACACACACCTTTTCAGTGTTTCTGACATGTTCCCATGATGCACTACTGTTCTGACTCTTCAGTCGTAGAGAAAAACTATGATATTTGTAATCAGTCGACACTCTGCTTTCTCCACTCATTTTGATACTGCTGACATTTATTTGGCTTCCACTTAATCTCCTGGGTTCAGCATACTGCAGTTACTCAGCCAGTGAAGCCAAGCTGAGAGTGTGTGTGTGCTCTCAGGATGAGATGCCAGCAGTTGTCCCAGGGTTGTGTTGTCCTCGCTGCCTTCCTCGTCCAGCCACCTGCGTTGCTTTTGGTGACCCTCATTACCGCACCTTCGATGGCCGCATGCTGCATTTCCAAGGAGCGTGCACATACGTCCTGGCACAGGACTGTGATGGTGGAGACTTCAGGTAAGGGTGTCACCATGGTTACCCAAGCACATGCTGTATAGATGTGCAAATGTTTTGTTAATATTTCTCAAATTGTTGTTGTCCCTATAGGCTACTTGTAACTCTATCTGCCCTCTAAAAATCCCTCAGATCAAACAGTCTGAGAAGGATAAACACACTATTTGGTTAAAGGACTCACAACAAGGACTCTTCACATTAAGGCCTGTGATAAGGAGTCAATAGTTCAAATTGCTTGTTAATGGCCCTGAAAAGTTTTTCAATCAACAACCTGTTGAGATTGATTGGGGTTTTGCATAAAAACAAAGCTTGCTGCCAAAGTTTGGGAAAAACTTGGACATTTTATTTATTTGTGTGTTTTATTTGAGCTCTTAGTTTGAAGTGGGCAGGACTATTTAGGTACTCCAGTCAAGATTTAGCAATATTTGAATCTAAATGTGTCAGCAGCTGAGGAGTTGTTTGCTTATGTTACAAGGCCAGTGTTGATCAGATTGGGGCATCAGCGTAAGCTTTGGAGTGTTAAGCACTGTGGACTCATTCATATTTAATAGTGGAGACATATACTGTGGATTTCAAAATCCACAGGGACTTGAAGAGGTCACAAGAAAAAAGACTGAGACTTTAATTTAGCTGGTATTATATGTATGCATGTGCCACTTTAAAAAACATTTTCTTTTCAATGTGCTTTGCTTTTGTAACCTGCCATAAAAAAGTCTTAAATTTGGAAGAGGAAGAAAAAACATTTCACATTTTCCTTAAGAACATGGCAATAAAAAAAAAAAACTGCCATTTCTTGTGACCTTTTAAAGAAAGAAGCAGATTTTATTTTTTGTGGTTTTAAACTTTGATACAATTTTAATATTTAATTACATGAATCAGTACACTGCAGCTTTTCTCCCCACTCGTCGACTTCTCTTTGTATCCACAGTATTCATGCAACTAATGAGAATCGTGGACGTAAGGGAGTGTCCTGGACTAAAGAGGTTACTGTGTTTTTAGGAGACGTCACAGTGCAACTACTCCAGGACTGGGTTGTGAAGGTTTGTGTCTGCAAGTACTGCAAATGTTTTTGTACAGTTGTGTTTGTGCATCTACTCAGTCCTTGTTATCATCTTCAGGTCAATGATGAAGTTGTGGCTTTGCCATTTCTCAAAGAATCGTACATCTATATAGAACGTCAAACCAACACCATCTTACTCAACACAAACATCGGCCTGAAGGTGCAGCCTTTTGTCTCTGTCAGCTTTCCTTCCTTCTCTTAATGAATAATACCTGATGCTACTAAATTTGGCACACACTTATTCGCCCACTGATTCACATTTAGGTGCTGTGGAGTGGTCGTTCCCACCTGGAAGTGAGTGTGCCAGGCTCATATAAGGGTCACACCTGTGGTCTCTGCGGAGATTTCAACAACTATCACCAAGATGACCTCCGAATGCCCAGCGGACAACTTAGCCTATCTGAGTCTGATTTTGGCAACAGCTGGAAGGTAAAAAAAAAATACACAGAGGGAATAGAAGGTCAGATTACGATACATTACAATGGTTTAATAATTGTCATACAAAAACAAGTCTTTTAACTGCACACAAATTAAACAACTCATCCTTTTAGGTCACAAATAGCAGTCATTCCCTTTCATCCTGCCAACCTGGTGAGGATGTCAACCCATGTAAAGATGCAGGCTACCAAGCCAAGAAGGTGGCTAATGCTCGCTGTAAGATTCTGAAGTCTGCTGTCTTTAAGCCCTGCCATCGTGTGGTACCTCCTGAGCCATGGTACGGAGCCTGTGTGTATGATCTCTGTGCCTGTGGGGCCAATAATGATGAGTGTCTGTGTGACACGCTGGAGGCCTATGCCGGTCAGTGCAGAGAGGCCGGAGTCATCCTGCAGTGGAGGAGCCCATCACTGTGTGGTGAGCAAAACAAGTGCTGAAAGAATATTTTTTTCAAACCACTTCTTTTTATGCTACTTAATTGGGGATTGTTTGCTTATGTTCAGTCTTCAAACCTCAGTCCTCACAGACCTTTGTTTTCTCTGCTGCTGTCTTTCACAGCTGTGGGCTGTCCAGCAGAGAGGGGCTTTGTGTTTGACGAGTGTGGTCCCCCTTGTCCCGTTACCTGCTTTAACACTGATGTTCCACTGGGGGTGATAGAGAGTCACTGCTTCAAGCCCTGTGTCCCAGGCTGCCAGTGTCCTGCTGGCCTGGTTTTACACAACAACTACTGCATACAGTCAGAAAAGTGCCCCAAGATCATTCACAGCAACTCATAATGTGTGAACTGCTCATGTTTGATTGGACAGTTAATTTGTATGCATACATGTGCCTTGCCACCTCTAGTCCTCTGCTATCCCATCCAAGGACTGCACCAGCCTTCTGTCACAGTACACTATATGGAATATGTTTGACATGGAAAGATATGCATACCTCTTAACCTGTGGATCCTACATATTTAGCAAAGTGAAATGCAGCATATTTTAGTGTTGATATAAACAGCTTGTATAAAACTGCCCGGCCAAATTAGAAGGTGTAGTCCAGTACAACACCACCTTTAACTATGACCGCAGTAATAAACATATAATGTGAACTGATACATTTATGACAATTTCACCACAAACTGAAACATTTTGAGTTTCATAAACACAGATGTTAAGGCAGAAGTATTGCTTACAATTGTACAGGTGTGACTTTAATTTGGCTGGGTAGTGTATGAATAGTGAGCACTGAATATTAGTACTACGCAAAGGTTTGTCATTTTAATTCATATGTCACGTGTTAACTATGAAACATTAGATTGTTTTACCTGCATTATTTATAGTCAAAGAAGCATTTGTTTACTGTACAGGTTTATCTCAGCACTGTGTGATATCTGACTGTACATAATCTCAGGTGCTCTTTTTCCCTTTTACAAATAAAAGTTTTACCAATAAGCAATGAAGTTACTATTCATAAAGAAATGTATGACCTTGGTAACACTGTGATTTCTTTATAATTTCCTTTGAAGTTTCCTGGAAAGATATGGAATTTTTACTCAATACAGGTAAAATACTGAAATATGTCTACAGATAAAAACATAGGTAGAGGATCATGTTTGCTATAAGAAATAAATAATGGATGAATACTTAGTTGGGCTTTAATTTATCTTTCAGGAAGATTCCTCACAGTTGACAAATTAGTAAATCAATCATTAGGAAATTCCAGACTCAAAAATGTGTTTTTGACAGCTTGTAAATGGGCTCGGATCTACCAACTTTCATTAATGTTACAGAGAGTTTTTCACACAGGTGTAATGTGTCATGTATCACATTTCATCCACTCTGTCTCACTCTGACAGAGACATTGTTACTTTTGCTGCTTGGTAACCTGATCCAGCTGTTGTCCAGAGGATTGCGGTAACGGTAGGAACCACCTGTATAATTCATCAGCCCAGAAAGGAGAAAACATGGAGCATGTAAGACGTTTTCATGTTGTTTGACAACTGCAGTTTCTTTTTTTTCCTCCATGTGTCACCTTCAACTAATGCCGTTGTTTTCTTTTCAGGATTTGATCGTTACTCTGTACCAGTCTGTGGGTTTGTCTGTCGGGGCAGAGTTTACCGCCGAAGATGTGAGTCTCCTCTACTGCAAACTGTTTCATCTTCCCGCTGACACCGTGGAAGCACATACAGCTATGAAGAAGGTGACGACCCAGACACATTTTGGCAAACAAACATCACTATCAAAGCAGCCATCATCTTCTTTTATCATAATGGAACAGAACATCACTATCAAAGCAGCTATCATCTTCTTTTATCATAATGGAACAGTCTTATGTACCTGTGTCTGTTTCAGATTGCAGGTGGTGACGATAGCTGGTCATGTGTCGGTGAAAACATCTTTGATGTTCTCTCAGAAATGGAAAGGGAGAGGGAAAAGAAGGAAGGGGTATCATTTAATATTTTTTTCTTTCTATATGACAATCTGAAAAGCCATAACAGAAAATTACAAGTTTACACTATTAACATGCAATATTGTTATTGTCAGATGTACTGGGACCTCCAGCTGCTAAACACTGGAAATTTCAACAATCTTTATGTGATGGACAAGCCAGTTGATGTGCTGAATTGCCTGCAACAAAGTCCAAGCTCAAATTGTTCTAAAAAGACTTGCAAACAACCAGATTCAGGATCATTGGGGTCGTGCACAGTTGACACAGACAGTGTACAGGTATGTGCTCTCAGTGAGGATTTTCTCCTGCATGGGGACAGAAACTCTGTTCATCAATATTTGCACATCTTTTACTTGCCACACAGATGGGGAGACTGGTCGGGGGAAAAGAGCTGTATGGAAGAGGGAGGGGTGCGAAGAGGCTCGATAAAACAGGCAGGCATTGCTGGGCCAGGTGAGCAGGCCTTGATTATTTCTTTTGTGTAGTACTAGACACAGCGATGCTATCACAGTTCACAGGGAAACACTTTTTACAACACTACATTACATTTATTATGAAGGACTGCATTAGTTTGCTGACTGAGGTCATACCTCTAAACACAGCAAATAATAAACTCATAATATGATACATTGCTATAGTAAAACAGTATAAAGAATACATTTTAGACTTACAGCCATATTGCCCATGTATTACAATGGTACATGTGTGATAAGGCAATGAGTTAACTTTAAATTTAGAGATGAATGTGTTATTTCTTCTTTTAAATATTACATAACATTTCCAGATTGCATTATTGCTTCTTTTACTTTAAGTAAATGAGCAGAATATTTTCCACCACTACAAACAAACAAACACCTTTGCATAACATTACAAGCCAATCCTCATATATCAAAATGCTTATTTACTGTAATTATGATATTGATGTGTATTTGTGTTTGTCTTCTTAGACTGGCGTCAGAGGGTGTGCAAAGTATATTGCCCACTCCCTGGCTGGGGAGAAGACAGGGAGTCCAAGGTCAGGCCTGGGGTTGTGTCTCCCTGGCAGACATTCTCCTCTTGGTGAAAGTGAAGTATGATGTTGTGACCCACTTGCTTTATACAGAAATGCTTCATGAACACCACAGTAAGGAAGATTACTCTCACAATATACAGCAACACAATCCCATAACTCTAAGTACTAGCAATTACTAGCAATACTTAAATCCTGGTCCAGATTCTTCATATTCCTGTTTTTCTTTTATTATTGTTGAGTCCACATCTTCAAGTGTCTGGGAAACTCTGCTGCCATGGCAACAACAAAAGGAAGACGAGGGGCTGGAGGAGCTTGCAGAGGAGGTTTTGGTGTCAGGTGACATGCTCTGTTTGGCTGAGCTGCCAGGTGCATTCAGGATATACAGGTAGCACACAATCACCATAGTTGTTGTTGTAAAATACGGGATAAAATAAAGCTATAATTTATGGCTCTAAAACCAAACAAACAAAAGTTAAAAAAAATCCAATCAAATTAAATACAGCATGTACTGAGAGCTGTAATGATTCCAACTAGCTAACTGGAGTTCAGTTATATATACAATTGAATGGTGTACTTCATCTAAATTCAAGTAAGCATTATAAACCAGATGTCATTTCAGTTGCATGCATCTCAGTCAAAAGTGATTTTCCTGCAGGACCCATCTGGGTGCATCTTTGACAGAACAATCCTGGTCTGCCATTTCTCTCTTGTACGAGATACACACATGTCATGGACAAGAAAGGGACACACTGACGGTCCTGGTGGAGAGGTAGATGCTTAAGACACACATCTGGTTTTGATCACATACAGTAAATTGGAACCTTTGTGGAGTAAGCCACTATTAGAGCTCAGGGACGGAAAAATGTAGATGGGGTAGTCAGGCTAGGGCACACACTCCTGTGGTCACATCTGAAATAGCTGATCTTGTAATTTCCAGGCTGGACAGGGAGGGCATGAGACTGTTATGTCTATACATCAGGTTGGCAACTCTCAGAGCTCAGAGAGAAAAAATGTCCTACAGTGCTCTTCTGGCAGCAAGGCAATCCTGGGAGACATGGTGAGCCCACAAACGCTAACAGTGAAAACAGTTAAACACTGAAAGTTAACATCTACTCGCCTTCATCAAGTACAGCACACTAAGTTTCAGCTGTGTACTGTCGGCCCCTCATCTGTGCATTCAGGCCGCATATTAAGAGTCCATGCAGGGCAGAACAGGCTGCTCTGTGGCTACAGGATAAAGAGGAAGAGCAAAACCAAGACTTGATCTCACTATCACCACAGCAGGTACTGTACATCTGATAATGAACCACTGCTCCTGAGACATGTGCTGCACAATATAATACTGCTTTTAAATTGCACAGATTCTATTCTTTTTTTTGAGATCTTTTCCTTGCAATAAAGGCCAAAAACAGTACACTTCAGTACTATTAGCAGCAGAACAAAAAATTTGACTCACTCCCAGCAGTCAGTGCTGCAGTTGCTGGTGCTGACTCAGGAGAAGGAGAGGAAGCACTTGGTGAAACTGGTACATGGGGTCTCCCTGGAGGATTTGCAATGGGAGGGTTGCACAGTTCCTCCAAAAGAGGGTAAATCAATGCTTTCTTCTTTTTCTGCTGCATGTTTGCCAGGACTGTCTTTTGTAGTTTCATACTTTCCTCATTTCTATATTCCCTCTCTTTTTTCCTGTGCAGATAGCAATAAGCAAGCTGCTTTAAGAAATGGCTGTATAAAAAGACTGAAGCAAATTCATGCCAGCCTGCAGACACACGTTCAGTCCCAGCACCAACCTCAATTGCAGGCCCAAATAAGCAGTAAATCAGAAACATGGTCCCAGTGGCAGCTGGAAGACTCTGCACTGCTCCTCTTGACTCATCTGCTGGAGCTTCACGAGGTCCAAGCTTCTGTATTACTGCCAGTACTGATGGACATGGTGAGCCAAGACAAGCACAGCATTCAGTTCAAAGATTCCACTATATGTACAGTATAATAAATAAAGCACACGATGTGTTTCTCTTAGAGTGCACAGCATCTCCAAGTTCTACGAGACAAATACAAATCTGAACTTCAAGCACAGGACTATACCAACCTGCTCCAACTCTTGATCTCAGACGCCCCTCTTACTTCAGGCTTTGTACCCACTCCTTGTCCACACTTGATTGAAAACAGCAGCAGTGAGCAAATGGCAACTGAGTTCTTCTGCAGTGTACCAGGAGAAGCCCAAAACATCAGCGATAGGTCAGCTAAAGCTCTGACAGCTGATTCAGTCAGAGTCCAAGCTGCTGATGGGACTGACAAACAGGACATCTGTGCAGGTACTGCAAACACAGCCAAACACAGATAACCATGCTTTAACAGCTGTAACAACAGTATACTTTACATTCTCCCAGGTTGTGGAGTGGTCATGGAGGAGCTGCCTTACCTGGAGATATTGTATGTTTCTGAGGCAAGTAATACTCATCAGAATCTGGCTGCAGAGAGAGGAGCCCAAGAGGAAGAAGAGGGCAGCACAACGAAAAGCCCCAAGAGCTATGAGAAACAAGGCTCGCTGATACCCCTTGCTTGGAGCAAACCACCAGACAATGACATAGACTGTGATGCAAAGTCTGCAGATGGTGACACAGGACAAAGACAGGATGGTGACAGCAGCGTGGAGATCCAAGGCCAGCTCAGTGACAAAAGCAGCACAGCTGAACACACACAGCATGATGAAGCCCTGAAGCCCACTTTGCTCCCAGCTGGCTCCCCAGTTCACCATATTGCACAGTCTGCGGGCCAACAGTATGGCACAGGAGCACAGGTACTCAGTGAGTGTAAAGCAGATCATAAAACACTTTATGACTACATCATCTGACCCCCACTCCCACCATTTATATTCTCATTAGTTGACGTTGGAGGAGAGGCCAGTGGTTGATCAACCACAGAAAGGAGAAGTTGTATCTGAAAGTGACCGGCAAATACACGCTTTGGTTGCAGAGCGCCCACAAGCTGTACAACTCCATCTCTCTGTTGACCCTCCTGAGATTAAGTCACACACTGATGACCTCTGCTCTGGACTGGCCAATGAGGCAGCTGATGTAGGCAGAGATGGTGCTGATGCTGGAATATGGCCTGCTACAAAAGAGTCTGAGCTGCGGGACCTGAGTAGGCCTGGACCCGCTCACGCTGAGAATCAAGAATATAATTCACAAGCAGGAGTAAGTTTGCTGTTGAACATCTCTACAAAAGACTTATTCAAACGATTCATTCTACTGTTTTTTTTTTTGTTTAAAAGGTAGACTATGGTCTCACAAAGAGGGGGGCAATGAGGGAATCCACACTGATAGAGAGAGAGCAAGTCAGAGAACCAGTGTCTGCAATGGAGAGAGAAAGGACGATGCGTAACCTGGTGGACATGCAAAGAAAGGTTGAACAGAGGCAGCAAAGAGCCAGAGAGCGACAACTGCTAAGGGTGAGAGAAAGCTGGATAGAAGATCAGTGAAATAGTAATCAGAGAGAGGGAAAGGTGGCATGTCACTCTGACACCATTTATCTTTCAGATTCAAGAGCGTCTGTCAATCATCCGGAATAGAAAGGCAGAGGAAGATCTGCTTGGCCTGAAACACACAGACAGGCTGAAGCACCTCACACAAAATCTACCACAGGTAATGACTTACTGAGGGACTCTTGATAATTTTATCTGAAGTTTTGCATTATCATGATTAAGCCTACTATTGTGATTTAGGAGGACAAGAACCAGCAGAAAACTGTTGTCAGAGAGCGACTGGAACAGCTGAAAAGAGAGCGCTCTTATGTCATGCAGTCCAAACGAGACAGGTAAACAACACTCCTTTGAATTAGACAAGAAAACAACAAATGAATGGTAACCACCATCCCCTCTATTCCCTTTATTATTTAGAAATACTGCAGGATTTAAGGAGCTCCTGGGTCCAGTAGCTCTCCACAGCAGAGAAAGAGAGGATGAGACAGAATGAGATTTAACAGCTGCTTAATTTCATGTGTCAACTTTGTCAGTCCCATATTCTTTCCAGCAGGGAGCCTCCCATCACTAAATATCACAACAAATGTCTGTTTTTTTACTGATTCAAATTCTCTTCATCCACATTGTTTCCCATAGTATTTTGATGTGTTGAAGTATAATGCTGTAAACTTTGTATAAATGGTGGCTTTCCTGTTTGTCTGTGGTCACATAGGTGCACAAAAAATTACACAGTTCTCAACAAACTTATATTGACTGTTTATTAAACAGTTCATCTTGGCAAACATAAGCATCAACAGTAACGTCATTTATCAATGACCCCCTTTAACTGCGTACACATTATCCCTGTGGCCTAAATTACATATATAGTAAGTCACAGAGGTGCATGTTAACAGTCTACAGAGGTTCCATAACTCCCCTTTATATGAACATAACATTTTTATACTGGCACTGTTAGCCAATTACCCACTTTTTTAAAGAAATACTGTGACTACAGTACGAACGCTGCTGTAGACTGAATGCACCTCAGGACTGGGGCTATACTTATTTACAGGTGTATTGGGATGGGAGTATTGTAACATGTTTAAGGACACAGCTTTTGGTAACAACTCTATGACAGAAAGATGTGTATAATACAGAGGATTTGGTGTGGGCCCAGTGGTTTTCCTGCAAGAGCAGAGGATTTCTCAGTCCTGGTGAACAGAAAAAGGCCGTCTATATGAGATTGCCAGCAAATAAACATTCAGATTTAGCTTTTTCCTCTTTAATTTACCCTTTATAGTGTCCACTCACACTGCAGTCAAATACAAAGCAGAAATACCTATTGCCCTAATAAGCCAAAACATTCAACAGCAGCTCACACACACACTGAGCCACCGCATTACACATACAAAGTACATGAGTGTGTCCTCAACCCAAATGAAGAGTAGACAAGTTAGGTTCAAGTTCTGTTGTCTCGAAAACACGAACATTCAAATCAACAAAGACAAAAGCTTATTTTCCAAACTAAGAAAACAGGGAACATGGTGCCTGGCTGACGGGTGCTATACTTAGGGCATTAATATTGTAGCAGTGTGACAGCTAGGGACAAACAGGACCAGCAAGTCCCATTTTCAAAATATTACAGTTCACCATAGAGAAGGATGTGGATTAAGCCTGTGCAGTTCTCATCAGGCTGTGCAGAGAATGCACCTGTAGGGCTGTAATCGGCTCTTATGATAGCAGGGTACTCTGACACACAGAAATTTAAACAGGTGGTGTCAGATTTCTCTGTAGTGCCCAAACCCTGGATCTACATATGCAAGATCTTCAGCAAGCAGCAGCATGCGCCTGTGAGTACGACTCAACTACACCTTTTACAAGACAGTCAACAGCATTTGCATTTTCTACACTATACTGGTATTTCCCACAGTGAAAGGTAAAAACCTAGGATGAAAACAGAAAAGTCTGAGTCAAGTTCAGTAAGCGGAACTCTTGAGAATGAGACCACTTACTTGCCGGTGGCTTTGATCAGCAATACTGTCCATAAAGACGAAAATGGTCATCGCACATCCAGGATCTCTCTGACTTATGGGCACCATGGAACTGATATGTGTGTGTGTGTTTGTGTATGTCTCATTTTCATGAGAATCATGAAAGGAGAGAAATATGCATGTATGTGCATCAAGTCTTGAACGGTGTTACCAATGAGACTCAAAGGGATGTTCGTGTTTTTATGCGTGTATCTCTTCATTAGTACAAGTCTACTGGTGTGCGCACTGCACCCCTGGGCCATGATGACCCCCCTCCTCATCTGAACTATCATTGTAGGCCTCTCTCCTGGCTCTACCTCCTAACCCTTGATTCTTGTCAAAATCTGTCAGGTCAACTTCCTCTACATCAGCTCCGATAACAGGATCCTCAGCACGTGCAGGCAGCAAGCATTCCAGTTCCTGAAAGAAATTAATTCAATTAATAAAAACAAAAATCTTGACACTATAATCAACCAAGCTTTGTGAAAATAAGGATGCTTAATGACTGTGACTCACATTGAGTTTTTCAGGGCTAATCCAGTTGTTTTCAGGAAACTGGACATCAAACTTGATATAAAGGTCTCCCTTTTCAAATGGGTTTCTGTAGTGAGGCATCCCCTCTCCCTTCACCATTCGAATAGAGCCTGCCACACACCAACAAAATGGTATAAAGGCACGCAGATGCAATAAGAATTCTGTTATGCAATGAGGCTTTGGCTTTTGTATGCACTTTGACCTTGAAATTTATAAGCTGTATATTATATTTATTGTGATCTCCTTTAGTTCACTAAAATGTTCACCAAAAAAAAAACAAACAAAAAAAACAAACAAACAAAACAACAACAACAAAAAATGCATGGCTGTCATGAAAAAAAGAGATCAGATCACTTAATGTGCTATACAGATATCTTTACCTGGCTCGATAACCTTGCCAGGTGGGTATTTGACAAGCAACTGACGTCCATCAAGGTGTGTGACAGTGATCTGGAAGCCACACAGAGCCTCAACCAAGCCGATACGCTGGACCATATGAAGGTCATTGCCATCACGCCGGAACTCCTAATTTAGAATGAAATCACAAGTTTGTTGCTTAGGCTCATTAAAACATATGGCATTAAAATGTAGAATCATTTGCCAATCATTCCCATATTCACCATGATATTAGGACACACACAGGTGGTTTACCTCATGGTCTTTCTCTTGAAGCACCAAGACTATATCCCCTGGTTCAATGCCGGGTGCTTGGTCAGCTTCCCCAGAGAATGTAATCTTCTGTCCGTGTTTCATGCCTTTGTCAACATGGACCTCCAGAAGCTTAGTCTCCTTACACACCTTATGACCCTCACACTTTTTGCAACGGTCCTTCTCATTTATCACCTCACCTGTACATGCGGACATAACACAGATTAAAGGATTTCACACTGCTGTTTTGCTCATGGTTGTAAATTATTCATGTTTTTTCAGTGTGTGGGTGTCTATGAACATATTACCCTCTCCACTGCAGTCTGTGCAGACTGACTGCATCTGTTGGACCATGCCAGGGGCCAGCTGTCTGATCATGATTCTCATACCTCGTCCTCTACATGCCACACACTTCTGCACTGCTCCTGCCTTACCCCCCTGACTGAAAGGCAAACAGTAACATGTCATCGTTGTTAACAGAATGTCTGTGTGCAGCAAGATTATTGCAACTACAAACCATCGCTTTGGGCTTTAAAACAACTCATGATTATCCAGTTAATCATTCAACTGAAATATTCAGTGCTGACTCACCCATTGCAGGCACCACATAGCACATTCTTACTGAGCTGCAGTTTGGTAGTTTTGCCATTGTAGAGGTCTTCAAGAGAAACTCTGTGTGACAAAAAGTTATGGGATTTGTGTAACAACACATATTTGAATCACCCACTGAAGTGTCCAAATTGTAGCAAAATAAAGTACTTACTTCAAAGGGTGCACCATATCTTCTCCTCTTCTCTTGCCTCCATTGCGTCCTCTGCTCTGTCCCCCCATGAAATCAAACAGTCTTCCACCAAAAATGTGAGAGAAGATATCGTCCATGCCTCCTCCTCCTCCTCCCTCCCGTAGCCCCTGTTCTCCATAGCGATCATAAAGCTCCTTCTTTTCTGGGTTTGAGAGTACCTCATATGCAAAACTGATCTCTTTAAACTGAAATGTATACATAAAAAATAACAATCAGACAGCTTGACACAGTGTAGGACAAACAAAACAGTTGCTTCTTGTGTCACATTCTTGCAAAATCTGAGGAATTAAGTCACAGAGAACTACAAATCAAAAACCGATCCATGTTTCTCTAGGGAAAATCAATTTCATATTCTGTACTTTGATCTGTTCCTTATTGGATTAAGGACTTCCTCACTTACAGATCCCACCCACCCAGGCAACAGTCTGTTTGTGCCTCTTCCCTCCAGGAAAAGGTACAGGAATATAAAGACTAAAACAAACAGACTGAGACACAGCTTCTTCCCCAGAACAGTGGTGAGAATCGGAAGCTGCACATCATCCACACTGGTCCTGAACACAGGCACACCACAGGGCTGTGTGCTCAGCCCAGTTCTCTTCACTCTGTTTACCCATGACTGTGATGCCATTCACCCCACAAACACAGTAGTGAAGTTCGCAGATGACACCACCGGAGACTCACTACAGAGAGGAGATCCAGCACCTGACAAGGTGGTGTTCAGATAACTATCTTGTCCTGAACACCAACAAGACTAAGAAAGTCATTGTGGATTACAGGAGGTCCAGAAAGACAAAACATGCTCCTCTTCTCATACATGAGGAGGTGGTGGAGCAAGTGGATAACATCAAGTTCCTGGGCATCCACATCACATCTGACCTGACCTGGTCTCTGAACACATCCTACCTGGTAAAGAAAGCCCAGCGCCCAGCAAAGGCTTTTCTTCCTCAGGAAGCTGAAACACGCTGGTCTCTCCTCTCAGTTGCCATCAAACTTCTACAGAGCGACAGTAGAGAGCATCCCCTGTCTCATTGCGACAGTGTGGTACGGCAGCTGCGCTGCACAGGACAGCTCAGGACATTGTAGGGAGTCCTATTCTGGATCTGGACTCACTATACACTGACCGGATCCAGAGGACGGCCGGATGGATTGCTGCAGACCCCACCCACCCAGGCAACAGTCTGTTTGTGCCTATTAGCTAACATGCCGCTGACCTGATTAGGTCCCATACATCCCTTTTTATTTGTTCATATTTTATATTCACTTATACAATTGTGTGTTATACAAATAATATGTCTGTCTTTTAAGCTGAGAGCTGCCGGAAAAAAATTTCGTTGTGCTATGCATAATGACAATAAAGATTCTTGACTCTTGTATTAATCCTCAAAGACTTAGGCTGTGTGATTATGACAAACTAAGTTGACATTATTTCTTGATCCCATTTGATGAGCAACTGAGCTTCTGCCTATGTAGCTACTACAATGACATGTATTGGTTCATCATACCTTGTCTCCAGCATCAGGGTTCCTGTCAGGATGGTATTCTTTGGCCAATTTACGATAGGCCTGCAATAAACCAAAAACAAATGTGAACAATGCTGCCTGTGCTCCTTGAGCTCTGCTGCCGAATGCCTACAATATCTCTTGTAAATCATAAGCCTGTTAACTTCCCTTATTAGCAAAGGGCCTAACCTGTGGGCCTGATCTCAAATACATCAGGACGCTAGCAAGAACTTCGCTATTTTTGACACTGGACATTACAGTGGAACCGCGGTTTTCGTGATTAATCCGTTTGAAAAAGTCCGACAAAAACAGAATGTACGAAAACTGAAGCAATATTTCCCATAAGAAATCATGTAAATCCAATTAATCTGTTCCAGACACCCAAAAATATTAAGAAAAAATACATTTTATAGAAAATAACTATATTTTTACATACAGAAAACAATGAGAAATAAATATAAATGACTAATGAACATTTAACATCACTTTTACCTTTATTGAAGACTCTTGTTGGCGTATGGAAGACGGCGAGGTGGGGCGAGGGAGGAGGAGGAGGAAGGGGAATCCCCCTCCATCATGTATCAAGGCTCTATCTGGGGTTACTTCCCTTCACTCATTTATTTCTTAAGGGAAATGAGTGGCCGAGTCACTCGGGCAGGCGGGCGAGTTTGGTACGGACTAATGACGCTGAGCCGACCAATCAACTGTACGAAAACAAAGCGGATGTACGAAAATTGAGACAAAATTTCGACGAAAAAAAAAAGTTGTCGAAAACCGAATCGTACGAAAAGTAGGGCATACGAAAACCAGGTTCCACTGTACTTTAAAGGCACCAACAAAACCACAACTGAAAATCTGGATCTTTAAAGTACACCTGCTTTAACAGTACTGGTCGATGTGTTGAGAAATCTAAGTATTAACTGTGATGCTATTCTGATAAAGTCTGAGTCCACTTACATTAATTTCGATATTAAGATTTTGAAAATGAAATGAGTCACACCTTCGCCCTTTACTACCACCCGCCGTTCGATTAACCGAGTCTCTGGAATTGTTAGCTAGGGACGCAGTGTTGTCAGTTATAAACAAACTGCAATGCCCTGTTGTTTGAATGGAGTTTCGACTAAGTTACAGGGACGTTCATGTTGGCTAACCACGCTAACTGCTAAGTGTACCGTCATGTTAACTTAGCTACACACCGGGTGACAACAAAAGCTATTACATTTATCCATAAAATGTAACCCAAAATAAATGACTCTTAGCGCTAACGTTTAGCGTTTCCAATTGTTATAGCGACGCCGTAAGCAAACAATCAGGTCTGTTTTTTCTTGGCATAACGTTAATGTTTTTTAACTAGGTTGGCTAATCTGACAGTAGCTATTTGCTGTAATGTATCATATTAGCCCCGGCAAGCTAACGGTTATCACGCTCCTGGTCGGAGAGGTAACGCTAATTCTTGGTTTTCGGGCTGGCATATTCAACCCCTCAAGGTTATTTTATGTAGAAACGACGAAAACCACCAACAATGCCAGAAATTCTCAACCCCATCGTGTACATTTAATGTGTGCCACAAAAGTAGCCGCATAAATGAAGCATCGCCAGATTAGCAAACTCGCAAAATGCTACTGAGTCTCTTTGGCTAACGTTCAGTAAACTAGCTTAGCATTAACTCGGGTTGATTATCTTGTTTCTAGGCCACATTTCACTGGTGACGTCTCTTCCTCTTTTAGCCTGTTCTACCCTGACAAATTTCCCTTTCGTTTCAGAAAGTACATACCTTTTTTAGTTCATTTTCTGATGCAGATGGCGAAACTCCGAGGATGTCGTATAGCTTAGTATCCGCAACGTTCGCCATGATGCTAACCGGCTACAACTGAGAGACCTTCTGCGGAGGTTCAGCTGAGCGTGGATCCAACGCAAGCTACAATGGGGAGGCTGGAACCCAGGGTTGCCAGATACTAAGGCAAACACAAACACCCACTCGGCAACAGATGCCAAAACAGACAAACGACAACCATATTACAAAAGAGTTAGAAGGTGTATGCATTTACGCAAAATTTTGCGTGTAGAACAAAACGGTGCGATTTACAAATTAGTATGATTGGAGTATAACGCATACAAACGTTCCCAAATACTTACTAAAGGTTCACATTAAGGTTACACTGCCCCAGTGAATACAGAAAAATTGGTGCAACAAATATAAAACAATTTTGAACACTGAGCACCAGAAACGTATATTGTTTGTAGCTAAATAATGTGGGATAGTGTGTGGGAGTGAGTTAGGGACCGTCTTAAAAGTAGACCACTTACTTGTGTTTTTAGTATGAAGCCCAAATATGAATGCATTTTTCACTGAATTCTCTCGGTATAAAATGCTCTTGTAACTAATATTAACATGTTTCCTGTAGGAATAGCATATGTTTTGTGCTGATTGAAGGGGAGCTGGAGGGATTAGTTTGAAAAAGGTTAACGAGAATTGGGCAGTCTAGCCTATAGCTTTGTGCAACAGATAGTCTACATTATTATTTTAAAGTACAACCTACAGCTGTTTTTACAAAGTGTCTCCTGTTGATTAGCCTCTACTGCAGTTCTCAGATTTTACAAATAGCTTATCACCTTTATTTAAGAATTAACAAATTTCTGCAAAAATTTTAGGGCCAAAAATTCATAATAATATAATAGCAAAACAACTAAATAGCCTACATACTATTTTGTAGTGTGCCTGTTGCAAAGTCCAGTTCAGAAGCAACAAGGGCAGTAGGGGACTAGGATCAATGCACAGGGCTGTTGATAACCCGACACTCAAATTTTGCATATGTTACAATCAGGTCAGACGGGTCCCTGGGCAAGATTCCCAATGCAGTAAGAATTAAGGCCAGTCCTTTTGGACATAAAGCAATTGTTTGTAACAGTAAAAAAAAAAAAGTTTAAATATTATTGCATTCTTTATCACAATTTGAAAATTAAAGGTCGTTTTTGTCATGTTTTATTTGGATGTTTATTTCAGAACTAGCTTTAGCCAATGCGAATATTAAATTTTACTTCAGTTCTTGATGCTTTATCACCCAGCACTTGATAGCAAATACAGATGTTGGTCATATATTTACACATCTGATGGACACCCGAACTTTTGATTACGCTTTTAGGTACGTTATCCGCCATTTTGATTTCCAAATCTGACAAATTATTTGTTGCAGGAAGAATAACTTGGACAGCGACAACACGGTTCCTCAGCAGGCCAGCCACCGCGTAACGGCATTGTAAATGACATTGCAACTGAGAAAGGGTAGTGTCTTCAAGCTAACAACACAGCCATGAATAGCTAGTTATGGGCCTCCGGGTAACCTGACAGCTGAAATCGCAATTTCCATGCAGCTTTTACATGACAACTGATGACATGATGGATAAAAGGTAATAGTCGTTTGTATTTCCGGAGAGAAAAAGCAACCCAAGGTAAAGCCCATACGAGCTTACTCGCTGGCATGTGGTCGGAAGACGTTAACGTTAGGCTAGCTCTGATTCAGGAGGACTTCGTATCAGCGTGCAGCGCAGCCGTGATAAATAACTGACCTGCGTTAGTTTTTGGTGTAGCTAAACACCATTTGTCACCGGTCCCGCCCTGAAATAGTTAGGTTATGTTAGCTACATGAGTGAGGCGTTGCTAACAGGCTAGTGTACGATCTGCATACAAGGTAAGTGAAAGGCACCGGCGCTAAGCACTGGGAATGCACGGACATGGGTCGGTAAGAGGAGATAAGCTAACTTGAAGTTACGATAATTGCATGAACAAGGTAATTAACCTGAATTTACAGTAATATGGTGGATAATCTGTTATAAATTGCACCCGGTAAAAGCCAACAGTAAGTTATCGTCTGATCTTACGACGAAAAGGGGCCTCTGTTAAAGCTGTTGTGCTGTTGTATGGAATTTAAAATCCATATCTAGCGTTATAGTAACGTTAGCTAGCATTGTCTATGGAGAACGGGTGAATTCCTGAAGTCGATAGTTAGAACTCTAAAACACCTGTTTGTTTAGCCTCAACATGTTCACTGAAGCTACACTAGGGCAGCATATTCACAGATCGTTAATGTTATGCAATCGATTTTAATAGTGTTTAACGTTAGATGAGTTATGTCTGAGCCCCTTTTTACACTGTAGAACGATACATTAGTCAAATGTTTTAGTGTGTGATCTATTGCTGACTTTGCGGTATCCAAGATCATATGTTTTCTTGTGGGGCCTTATCCACAATTCAGACAAATGCATGCTGGATCAGTGGCATGTTGACCATGGGAATTAACTGTTTCTAATGTAAGAAAAGAAGGGCGGTTTTGTTAAGATGCATTCTTTGTGCAGTATCTGTTGTCTGATGGGGATGTAAGGAGAGGCTCTTCCCCTTATTCCATTGTCCAGTGACAGCTCCTGCTCGATTTAGACCGTGCTCAGCAATCATCATCACCACACCTCATCTCAAATTTGCACTTATTTGTAGCAACACAGATGTCAGCCAGTGCAAGACTCAATAGTTCTCCCCCTGACATTTTTCTTTATAAGTATTCGTATCACACATTTGAGCTAAGTGTCTTTCTGCATACCATTTGTTTAGTCCATCATTCTGTTTGTTTGGGGCCAAGCTGGGTAATGTCCATACACAGATGTGCAGCACTAACTCAATTACAGCTACATTGCTTCCTGCTCTTTTCAGAGGAGTGTGTGCCTAGTCTCTGCATTTAGGCTGACTTTTACTCTTCTTCTGGCTCTAAGAAAGACAGAGCAAATCTTTGTGGAAATGATTTTGTAACATTTGTTGTTTCTTTTCTTCTCATTTCTCATTACCAGGCCTAAGGAGTTCTTTTCTTTGTTTGTATGTCAAGTGTTGGTATGAGTCAAGTGAGTGTGTTTGTGTCTTCATTGGGTGAATTTGCTGATGTTGACTGACACCTAGGCCATGCAGTGTCAATTAATGGCAAATGGCTGTTTAACAAGATCTGACTGAGGGTACTACTCCTTGTCCAAAAGTAAGAACATACATACATATATTTGGAGAACTGTATCACAATAAAAAAAAAGGTCACTTATGAGCTGTCAGCCAAGACACTGATCACCATGTCACATCCTCTTTTGGTGAACAGTCAAGTGAATGAGCCAGTGACCTCAGCCATGTTTTGGAAGTTTGACTTGCACACATCTTCTCATCTGGAGGCTTTACTGGACAAGGAGGATGTCACGCTTACTGAGCTCATGGACGAAGACGATGTGCTCCAGGAGTGCAAGGCTCAGAACAGAAGGTCTGGTTATTGTTAGTGTTAGCATTTCAGCAACACATAATTTTAAATACATTTCAGTTTCCAGTAATTCCTGCAGGTGCTAACTGGTGCTTCTTTTGCCATCATTATGGATTTGCAGACTTCTGCTGTTCTTGTGCCAGGACCAGTGCATGCAGGAGCTGGTCCATATGATTACTACAGAGCCCCCTGCTGGTGTAGAGGAGACCAAGCGCTTCAAGTAAGTGCTGCTATGTAGAATATGCTGCCGTAGTACACTGTATTCAGGAAAACACAATACACTACATCATTAAATCTTGCCTGCTATTTTATAGTAGAGCGCTTAAGAGGCCTCAGATTTGTTTAAAAACATCTTGATCCAACTATCTAACCAACCCAATGAAAACCAGGCCAGCCTTTTTCCAGAAATTGTGGTTTTTACTTTACTACACTAAATGTACTAAGATAGAAAACAAGATATTGACTTTGCTTTGTTTTACTAACAGGTGTGGTCTCTTCATTTATTACAGGTATCCAAATATAGCATGTGAACTGCTCACATGTGATGTGGGAGCAATTAATGATAAGCTTGGTAATGAGGAACCTCTGCTGGAAACTCTGTATACCTTCCTAGAGCAGCCATCCCCACTTAACCCCCTCCTAGCATCATTCTTTAGTAAGACAATTGGAAACCTCATCACACGGAAGACTGAACAGGTAACACACCCACACAGCTAAATCAAGGGGCACACTCAGAGAAGATGACGGCTTTGTTTTTGTGTTGTCATGATTTAACTCAAGTCTGAAAAGGGCTTACAACAAGCTAGTGGAAACTGCTCGCACTGGGAATTGCTCTCAGCCAAGGTGGCTATAAAGTTTTATTTCAAGTGAAATCCCAAAATGAAGATTTCAGGTTTACCCTGTTAGTAATGGGGCAGAGGATATCAAAGTTAGGTGGTCTTTATATCTGTTGGTCCAGAGCAATGTATCTTAAAAAGTGTCCTGAAAGTTGTGGCATTTGGTTTGGATCCTCATGTTCCAGAGGGTCTGATTTGTACTCATTCTGGTGGCCTCCTGACCTTGATGCCACTTATGTCCCTAACAAAACACTCTACTCGTACACGTTACTTGTCACACTTCCATCTACTGCTATTAAGCCATGGGGATATTTTCGTTCTTGTATGCAAAGGTTTCAGATGTAATTGGTTGTCACAAAGCTCACATTAATACACATGTATGTGTGTAGCGATATAATGTTGGCTTAACCTATAATATAGTAAATGTGTGTGCATTCTTGGGTTTAGTTAATGCATTTCTCAGATTTAATGTTCCTAAGTGACTATAGACTTTCAGTGAGGCAATTCAAATGTGACTTTTCTCATCAGAGGCAGCCACTTGATAAATCTGCTGGTAATGAATTGAGCGACACTCATTGTTGGTGACCGGTTGAAAGGTTCAATCCTGAAGCTAAATGACTATTGCACACTGAACAAGGCATAGCTGAAATGTCTGTGCTGTTCATAGAACCTCACAGGGTAGAATATTCATATTGTTGTTTTTTTTGTTGCATGCACTAAGTCTTTGAAATACTTTCCTTTGCACCTTATAGACAACTGCTGACAGTGTGTTTACATGGTCTTAATAGTGTGGACCCCAGTTTTCAGTTTTGTAATTTGTTCCTTGGTGTTTCCTTTGCTTTCTGTTTTGGTTAGGTGCTTAGTTTCCTGCGACGGAAAGAGGGATTCCTTTCTTTGGTCCTGAAGCACATTGATACATCAGCCATGATGGATGTGCTCCTACGACTTATCAGTTGTGTGGAGCCACCCCCTCTTCGACTTGAGACTCTCACTGTATGAGATAAATGGAGCCACAGTTATTACCTTCACTGATGTTGTGCGCAGTTATAATTTTGACATTTTTCTCAACAGTGGTTGAATGAAGAGAAGTTGGCCCAGAGACTTATAGAACTCATTCACCCTGAGAGAGATGAGGAGGTAGGAGGGCATTTCAGAATTTTTATTTTAATGACTCGGCCATTTGTGTTAGAAAATATACTATTTCTAAGGCTCTTGAATAGACGTTTTGAAAGACTGAATATCAATGTTTGTGTGTTTGTTCTTACAGAGGCAATCCAATGCATCTCAGACTTTGTGCGATATCATTCGTCTGAGCAGAGACCAGGCCAATCAGCTCCAAGAGATTTCACAGCCTGACCCTTTGCTGACTGTGCTGGAGTCGTAAGTCAGACGGATGCACACATGTTCACATTCTTTTCACAGAACAATGAGACATACTCCATTGTGTTTCTACAGGCAGGAGTGTGTGGAGCAGTTGTTGCAGAATATGTTCTCAGGAGAGAGGACTGAGAGCTGCATTGTCAATGGGATTCAAGTTCTTCTCACATTACTGGAAATCAGAAGACCTGTGTGAGTAAATTGTGTCCAAATAATCACCTTTATTGACAGGTTCATTTGACCTCTGGTCTCTTATTTGTTTCTAAAATTGCCTACAGCTGAAGTTAGTCACATCTCTCTTGTATTACTATTTGTTAAACTTTGTCATTAATTTTCTGCTTTGATATGCACATGATCTGTTTATGACAGGGTGGATGGTGTAATGGATGCTCAGGGATTTGAGAGAAGTTACACTGTTAACAGCAGCATTTTGTTGGCCATCCAACCACATCTGATCCACTTCCACCAGCTACTTCTGGAGCCACCCAAGGTACATAAGATAAGGTGAACTTTTATTAGTCCCATAATGGGGAAATTCACAAAGCAAAGATATCCTGCATATAGATCTTGCTTTTTTTATGTTTTGATTTAGTGACTTTTGATTGGCTTGCTGTTGTATGTAATCACTTGGTACTTGCAGGAAGACATAACTTAGCAAGGTGTTTAATGCAACTTCATTTCTAGGTTTGCTTGGAAAGAGTCCACAGTATTGACATTGCAACATATAAACATTTTATAAGAATGAAATCATTAGACCAATTAGTTTAGTTTATATTATTGACTATTGTAATACGAGATAATGATACACATGATAAATACATATATTGATAGTAATTAATAAAAAAAAAATCACAGATCCCTTGCTTAGCAGTTTAATTTATTCAGGTTTCATTCAGATGATGCATGGCCTCTTTCTTCAGCACTTGGGTTTGGTTGTCTGCCATGTAGAGAGATTGCTTTGCTTTGCACTATTTGCACCAGTATAACAAACACTGGTGAAGCTCAAGACCCCAACCTTCTTTCTGTGCCTTATTAGGAACATGTTTGTATGTTTTGTGCGTACTTAGAAAACTCCTATGCTGACTACTCTGGGTGTGCTGGAGGAACCACTGGGGAACACGCGTCTGCACGTAGCCAGACTAGTGGCCTCTCTGCTGTACACCAGCTCTGCCAGTCACGCTGTCGTAGCACAGGAACTCTGTAGACTCAATACAATGGACCTGCTTCTGGTGAGATAAGCAAACACTGTATTTTTGTCAAATTTGAAGTACAAAGTAGTAAATGTGAAAATTACTAAATATGCCTGTTGGAAAATGTATACTTTTATTTCAGGATTTGTTCTTCAAGTATACATGGAACAACTTTCTGCACCTCCAAGTGGAGCTTTGCGTTGCTGCCATCCTCCGGCCTTGTGCCCATGAAATTAGACTTCAGCCTGATTTGGGATCCCAGGACAAGTTCAAGCCTCAAGAGGATGCTTCACAAGAGCAGGCTTTGA